TAAGTCTCCAGACCTTATTTCTTTCGAACTCATTGAGTTCGTCTTGCATTGCCTGAACCCAATCAGAATGATCGAGAGCAGTATTGACGGTCTTCGGCTCTATTTTGGATATGAATGAGTTAAACATGCAAAATTCTACTTTGGAGAATAGAGCTGTTTGCTTCGCTTTTAGTTGTGATCGCGTTAGAAACTTTTCTGATGCATCACCCACTATTTGAGAAACTGGGTGATCTTTGGTCCATTTGATGAGAGGAGGATAATTTGGATCATAAGAGGGGTCTAACTCAACATTTACTTCTTCTTCCAACTCTCATTGTAAATCATCATCATAAAGCTTATCGGAATACTCCCCCTTGACAGATGATGAAACCTGTGGATGTGAACTAAAAAATCCTTCTTCTTTTTGGCTTGCGAGTTGTACCGGACCTTTGGGTGTTGTAGGACTTTTGAATAAAATGTTAATATGTAACACCGTAAATTTCAAAACAAAATTTTCAAATTTTTATAAAACATAATTCCTTTAATATTCGGAAAACAACCATATTTAATTATCCAATTCAAGTAAGTACAAAATCCCAAGATCTCAAAATCATAACTCCCATGCGTGTGTACAGATCAAGTCGGCGCCTTCCCGCGATCGTCACTAGTACCTGAAACAAATAACATCAAACACTGTAAGCACAAAGCTTAGTGAGTTCCCCACCACATATAACACATATTAGCCACTCGAGGCTATAACTCTGTGGGTCTGTGCACCCAAACTCTGTGAACCCTCAGGTTCTAACTCTGTAAACATGCACAACATAAATCACATAGAAATAATGCAGTACAAAACATAACATACATAGCATACAAATACTCTATCACATAACTCTGGTTACCTACTCAAGGTAAAGTATAGTGAGAAGACTCACCTCGCGTGTCTCGGTAATTCGTAAATCCTGAAATCACTAGTGCTCGATCTCCCGAGCTATAGTCCTCCTATAGCACAATACATCTCTAATTAACACTTTCCCAACTAAGGTTGACTACTCTTTAACAAGTCAACTTAGGTCAACGGTCAACTTTGACCGGACTCGACGAGTGCACTACAGCGACTCGGCGAGTCTGAGCGTATATACTGATTTCCCTGGAATCCTCCCTTGGCACGTCGAGTTTTCACCTAACTTGACGAGTTCCACCTGGCATGAGTTGTGGAGCCACCACGACTCAACTCGCCGAGTCTCAAGAACAACTCGGCGAGTCCAGCTTGATTCAGTCCACCTGACCACTCTGACTCCCCCTGACTCACTGAGTCAACCCTCCCCAACTCGGCAAGACCACTCGCTGTGTGGTCGGGGCAATATTCATACTACTCGCCGAGTCTGTTCTTCGGACTTGGCGAGTCCGTGCCATGCAATGGCTCAAGATTGCTTATAAGGTCAGATCTGGTCCGTTAACCCATAGATCCAATCCTTCCAAGCTTATTTAGCACGTAAAGTCACTATCTTGATGCACATACAATATCTATATGACCATATATGATGCTTTTGACCCAAATATTACAACTCAAGGTCATAATCTCCATTGCTATACATAAAGCTTGATGAGTGAGGCTCTCTGGACCTCTATGGATCCAGATCCAGAGCCTCAACACAAGAGGGGAACTGTTTGGCATCAAATCAACCCAATAATGACCACAAGAAACCCTAAATCCAATTATACTTCACAAGACAGAAGATGATCCGAAATCATACCTCTAATTCGATGATCTAAGCTTCAAATCCACAGTATATCAACCTCCTTTGCTTCCTCTTGTCTAGAACCTCCTCCTTCTTTTCTAAATAACACACACAAGGTCAAGAAACGCTTCCTTTCTCTCTCAAAATGTTCAAGCACTCAAGGGTTTCTCTCTATGGGTTGGTGAGCACAAATGACGCCCATAAGGCCCTTTAAATAGGTCTCAAACCCCGGAAATTAGGGTTTCACCACACAGAGTGGACTCGCCGAGTCCACTCTTGGACTCGCCGAGTCCGGACACGAACCCGTACCCAAAACCGCGATCCTACTCGGCGAGTTTGGGCTCCAACTCGCCGAGTCCACTCACAATTTCCAAAAATAACCCAATAATAAATACCTTGAAATTCCAGGCTTTCGGCTCTATTTTGGATATGAATGAGTTAAACATGCAGAATTCTACTTTGGAGAATAGAGCTGTTTGCTTCGCTTTTAGTTGTGATCGCGTTAGAACCTTTTCTGATGCATCACCCACTATTTGAGAAACTGGGTGATCTCTGGTCCATTTGATGAGAGGATGATAATTTGGATCATAAGAGGGATCTAACTCAGCATTTACTTCTTCTTCCAACTTTGATTGTAAATCATCATCATAAAGGTTATCGGAATACTCCCCCTCGACAAATGATGAAACCTGTGGATGTGAACTAAAAAATCCTTCTTCTTTTTGGCTTGCGGGTTGTACCGGACCTTCGGGTGTTGTAGGACTTTTGAATAAAATGTTAATATTATGAATTTTGAAAACAGTGGTTAATGTTACTTCACATTTTATAGGAATGTTTGGTTAACTTAAAATGAAAATTTTATTTGAAAATTATGGGTCGTTTCAGGATAACAATATCAATGATTAACCAAAGTTTTTCATGAACGTGTGTGCTGATAAACCTCATTAATTTGTTTCATAACGTTTGATCCCAAAAGATTTTAGTTTTATTAGAATATATTTATTATATTTATGTTTTTATTTAAATTTGTATATATTTTCATTGTTATGCACAAATTTAGGGGGAGAAAAAAAAATAGTTTTTTTTTTTAAATGTGTTTAATTTCATTTTTATTTTCGTATTTGATTTTTGAAATGTAAAATCAAAAGAAATCCTTTCGTTTGGCCAAATCGTTTAGGTGGGCCATCTGGTCCGTCTTTTCGATTATATATATATATATATATATATATATATATATATATATATATATATTGTGTTTTCGGCTGATTAGGGATTTTCAGCGAAAAACCCCAAACAGCCATCGTTGTTTTCTCTTTTCTTTTTTCGATTTTTTCTGCTAAACCCTACTCAGTCGTTGCTTTTGTTGCAAATTGTTCGGAGAATCAGGTATTTTTTGGGTTTTCAATCATGGCAATGCCATTTAAGTTGTTTTTGGTGTACTCGATTTCATAGATTTGCAGGTTTTCGAGTGGATTTTTAAGGTTTTCGAAGAACTGAGTTGGATTAGGTTCCGATGAGATTTCGGGTTTTCGGTTCAACTCATATTCGACCTAAATCTGATGAAGATCTGAACAAAATATGGGTTCTCGGCCGAAATCAACCAACGATAACCGAAATCGTCTAGTCAACAAGTGATTTTGACCGAAATCATTCAGCTTTGGCCGAAATCAATCATCTTTGACCGAAAACAACTGAAATTTTGTTTTGACCGAAATCGACTAAATTTTTGTTGGATTAGTGTCTAAGTCCATAACTATTTTGGTATGTACTTGACCCGATGGTGCATGGTCCTTTTGGGTTGCCTTCACCAAAGCAACTTGATAGGATGAATTATGGAGAGAAATGATTAAATATGATTTATTAATATATTATGGGAATAATATATTAAAGGAGAAATCATATTGTTTAATTAATATTAGTCAATAATTAATTGGTAATTAGTTTTGTGACTAAAAGAGATTAATTAAACTTAAGGGACTGGAATTGTAATTATAAGATAATTGCAATTTGGGCCATGGATTGCCTTGTATTAAGGGATGGACGAATTCTAATGGGAAACCCATAAGGAAATCGTCCATGGGCTTAATAAAAGGAGTCTATGGGTTGCTTAGGGCTTAAGCATCCAAATTAGGGTTTCCTTGTTAGATAACTCTAATAGCCCAACTATATAAAGACCCCTTAAGGCTCAAAAACGTGGCTAAGGTTCTTGTAAGGGTTTACACACGTTTTTGGCAGCCTCCAACCTCTCTCCTCTTCATCCTCTTGCTTATGGTGTTTGTGAGCCATTAGAGGAGTGACACTTGTGACTCTAAGCCTTCCAAAGTCAAATCAAGGAGGAATTGGGATTGTTATTGCTACATAACAATCAAGGTATGATCTTAAACCTAATTACATATTAATATGATTACTTGTATGTTAGAATTAGGGTTTATAGTCTTTGATTCAAAGCATGTACAATAGAGAAACCTATATCCAAGCATTAGGGTTTGTATGAGCACATAGGATGTCTTATGACCAAAACCCATCAATTTTGACTTTGACCTTGACCTTGATCGAAATCATATTTCAAACTCAATTTAATTAATTTTAAATTAATTCTCACTTGGCTAGTTTGGTGCAGACAAATGGCAGAGCAACTTAAATTAGTAGACTCTCATAACGTTGCTGGATATCTCATGGATCCTCCTGCTGCTCATCAAGAATTCAAATCCATGATGGTTGGTTTGAAGAACTGCAGGATCTCTGAAGCCCTTAGTGCCAATCCAGTCATTCATAGAGACCTGATCGCTGATTTATGGAAAAACGCTTCGATCAATTAGCTAGGAGAAAATGGAGCTGGTACAGTGGAATCTATGGTGAAAGGAACACAAGTGATTATCTTTGAACAAATCATCCAAGAGGTACTTGAATTTGGTGATGCATCCGCATTTCAAATCGAGTACTCTGCTGATTGTGTCAAGGAAGTTCTAGAGAAAATGTGTTGTGAAGGAACCTATCCTCCCACTATCAAGAAGCTATTGCCACCCTACTAGAGGTTCCTGTCACACTCCTTTGTTATTTGCATTTCTGGGAGAAAGGGAGGCTCTGATGAAATTAGTCAGACTGTGACCTCAGTTATTATCGCTCTAGCTATGGATTAGGAATACAAATTCTCAAAGTTCGTGTTCGAAGAGATGAAGAGCAACTTTATGGGAAAGAAAAGGGACCTATTTTTTATGTACCCCAGGTTCCTTCAAATGATTTTTAATGAAAAATATAAGGACGTCCCATACATTAGATATGAAAGCTTTGGGTCCCAACACTTTTGGACTCATGAAGCAATCGAGAAAGTCTGCCAAAGTTGCTTATCAAGGATCAAAGGAGTTAGTTAAATTTGGAAAGTTTCCTAAGATTGAAGACACTCCTCCTGTTAGCTCACTAAATGATGAGGTTGGTGATGAACATGTAGCGCCCAAACCAAAGTTTCAATTCGCCTTTGAAGAGATTGAATTGTATGATGATGAAGAAGATCAAGAGGATCAAGAAAAGGAATTGACAGATAATGAGGATCAAGAAAAGGAATTGTCGATGAACTAGTTCTGACTGAAAGGGAAAGTGACACAACAGTGCAAGCCTCAATTCCGACACCTGAATAGATGGATGCTCTCATAGTAGAACTTCAGCGAACTGCAAGGAAGCCTCCCCAAAAAGTTCCGGTCACTACTGAACCTCCATCTGAAAGTGATCTAGATGACTCAGCCTACGCTTTACTCCCAAAGAAGCGAAAAAGAATAGATCCATGGCCGAGAGTGTTTATCACAGACCCAGTTCAAAAGAATTCTACTTCGTTTGAGCCTGGTTCTATGGCTCAAAACCTTCAAAGCACATTCAATGATTCCTCTCCAATGATTCTAGAAATATCAAGCCCGTTACCTGAGCCTACTCCTATGGATCAGGATTGACAAAGCCCTATTGTTGAAGAAGAAGTCATACCTCAGAAGGAGCTCAAGCATCAGGGACTTCAGTTGAAAATAATTTGTAGAGGAGGGTAAGTTTTGTAAGGTCTTGAAAGGATCTTACCAGTGATCAAATAGCAATAGCAATCAGATAAACAAATAAGAACAAGTAGAATAAAGAATCAAACAAGCTTGCACACGCTTTTCTATTAGAATCACATTTGGTACAACTTGCAGTTTATGAGAGCTGAGAATATCGAGGCATCAACAACCAAAAAAAACCTAACATACCTCTAGATATACTATCATGGGTCGGCCTTGGGTTTACGGCCGTAAGCAGGCTTACGACCGTAAACTCATTATAGTGACCGTAAACTCCAAGTACAATACTATAAGCTATCAAACGACCAAAAGAACCTATTACATGGAAAGCCTAGACCAAACCACTAATTAGAACCTTCAATCTCCCCCTTGGTTTGGTGCTAGCTTTAAATCAATCTTTGTCTATGATCATTACATCATCCAGCCCCATCGCTCCATTCCACATCTTCTTGTTGATAATTTCAGCAACCATCGTGGTATATTCTTTCGCAGCAGTCTCAAAAATCTCCTCAGCAACCTGAATATGGAAATGACTCAAATGGTGAATATCCCATTTTCCAAACTGGTACAAATCCCTTCTGTCATATAAACGAATGCACCCATCCTTCAGTTTGATGATAGCAGATGTTGTGGTTTCATCAAACACCGAGTAAAGCATAGTGCTTAGAGATCCATCCAAGTAATCTTGAAGTATTGGAATTTGTTTGACCTAATTTTTAGCAGGCCACATCACCACCTGAAGCGGATTGCCAGTCTTAGGATCAATAACATCAGGATGATCCATTATTACAGACTCAACAGTCTTCATAGCTGGAAACCCCTTCTTTACTTGGTCTTCCATAAATTCTTGAAGCTTGTTGCTTGCTGGTTATCAATCGGGTTTGAGAACGGAGATTGAGATAGCTCCGAAAGATCCACTCTAGTCCATGAATTAAAATCGTGATAGTCCTTGTAGAGCTCTTTATTGCCGCTCTTTCGGCGAACAATCCACATTTTCAGTGGATCATGAAAACCCCAAGAGATAATACCTGACCTATCACTATACGTGTCTCTAAACCTTACGGTTTCGAGATCCGTAACAGTGATTTTGGATTGATTTCCTAGTGCATTCTTATCAGAACTCCTCTTGAATAAGATTTCTCCCTTCTTGGCAGCTTTCTCTTGTTTATCCCGAATGATCTCTGAAATATGCGGAGCATAGATGGGCTCTTCTTTGAAGCGATTCACGGCCCGTGAGGTGTCAGCAATTGGCACAGTAATCAGATGAGCCTGAGAGTGAAGATTAATTATATATTCATCAGCAGTAGTCTTGTACTTAACACCCAAATCTTCTTCAAGCTTCTTCTTTAGATCAAAGTAGCTAGAGGTCAAGAGATTAAAATGAGCTTGGAGCTCATAAATCTGTTTGGTCCTTGTCGCCCTATCTTCTTTGAGATCAGAGACTTGAATCTTTAAATTTGTACTTTCACTTAGAAGATCTTCAACTTGGATACTAAGCTCAATGTTCTTCTGATCAAGTACATTTACTCTTTTATGAAGTTCATTGATCACATAATCTTCATCTCTAGACTGACCTTCATTAAAAACAACCCTTTTTGCCTTAGAAGTAGTTCCACCAGTTTGCTCTTGAGCCAAAAACTGAGCCAAAGGAATGGAGGTTTCTTCATGATCTGCCCCTGGAGGAGAGAACCCTGGTGGCATAGAAGGACCACCGGTTTCAAAAATTGTACTAGGGCCTTCACTGAATGGTTCTACGGTTATGATAGATGTAGTAGTAATTGGAGTAGTAGGCACGCCTTGAGAAAGGCCAGTGTCCAAAAACCTGACCCTAGGATATCTTCTTCTCCTTTTTGATGGAGGTTGCACTGTCTGGTCTTCTTGTTGATCATCTTGAAATGGCTCAAATATGGGGAATACACTGTCAATGGGAGGAATCCCTAACACTGTCACCATAGGAGTTGAAGAGCCAACCACTTGCTATTAAGAAACGGGGGTTGAATCAAAAATGTCTTCCTTCTCCCTTGTCTCTGTTACTGGGATAGTAACATCATTGACATTATCTAGCAAAGATTTGAGATTTACGCTTGTTAGGAAGTCATCATTTCTTTCAAAAGTCTCAGGAATGTTATCTTGATCAAATTCGGTAAGATCGAGGTCTTCAAATTGGTTAGGTTGGGCAGTGTCCTTCGATCTGAACATTTTGTAGATTATGTTCCTCTGCAACTGATACATCATGAGCTTCAGCCTCTTCTCCCTCTTGATAAGATATTATGACCACATCTCCTTCTGAAATAACCCTTTCCGATGAAGTATGTTATGCAGAAATTTTGTCTAACGATTCATGAGACTCGGTTGCTTCGCTTGGTTCGGAAAATCGTCCAAACTTGACCAGAGGATGCAACCCTTGAAAGACCACCTTTCCCTTTCGGTTTTTCTTAATGAGCCCAATAGTATGTGGACCCAAATACTTCATATCCAATGTTTCTCCATCCTTCACCAAATTAGGGAATTGCTTGTTGATGAAGAGCTGAAAAAATCGAGGGTACATTAAGAAAGTATCCCGAGTTGTGGCATTAATGTTGACCACAAACTCGTCTAGAATAAATCTAGAAAAGTTGAAACCAATCCCTGCCGCCAGAGAAACAATAACGCCAGTGTTTCGTAGGGAAATCTCATCAGCACCAAATCTTCTACCGCAGATACAGCTCACGAACATGTGGGCTAGAAATCTCCAATAAGGCGGCATAAGTGTTTTTTATTGTTGATGGAGTATCACCCTCGTATCCCATTCTCCTTAGAATCTTTTGAGCATCACTAATACCAATTTTCGTAGGAAAGGTTGGAAGGTCGTTAATCAGCAGAATCTCTCTCATAAAGGTCTCATCAATGATAATCTTGCATCCCTAAACGATCGCACCTACAGTGACAGCTCCATTGTCGTCCCTTGTCATCTTGGCAGTCTGCCAGAACTCACGAATCATTTTCTGGTACACCGCAGTGTTCATCGTAATGGCAGAGGCCAAGTAGCATTCTCGAAGTCCGTGAATCATCGCCAGGTTGTGCATATCTGCAAATTTCAAGGCTGCCATTTTATCTGCACTAAACCATACCAAGTGAGAAAAAAAGAAATGAGAAATTAATTTTTAAATGATTTAATTTTTGACCTCAAAATGAATTAATAATTTTTTTAATTAAAATTAGGTCAAAGTCAAAGTTTGCGGTCAACATCAGGGTTTGTGGTCAACGAGGGTTTACGGTCGTAAACCCTTGACCGTATGTTAATGACCATTTGGGGAGTTTACGGCCTCAAACACCTTACAGCCGTAAGCTTCGACCGCAAACTCCGAAAACCTTTTTTGTCGATTTCAGCCTCAAAAACACGGTGAATCACACAACGAGATGCATATTCCTGGTCGAAAATGCAGTACCTCCAAGACTATCGGATTAATTTCACAAAAATCAATGAATTTTTTTCGGAGGAGAGAGAGGATGAGAGAGTTTGCGGTCGGAATCAAGAAACTGATGGAGATTCCAGCTGTAAACCTCCTTATATACCCACTTTTCATTTAAAACAAAGTCGAATATTTTTCAAAAAATTTAAAACAAATCTTTTGAGGATTAATATTAAAACTAAAATTAAAAATAAAATAAAATAAAATAAAATAAACTTTGCAAAATTAACAAATAATAATAAGTTTTTTTTTTGTTTTTAGCAGTTAGCAAAATAAAAATTAAAATTAAAATTAAATTAACTCCAACTAAAATATACAACTTAAAAATTTAATTATTGAGAATGAATTTGTGACGTTGTGATTAAAGTTGTTGGACAGCCTTATTCCACTTGTCGGTACGCTTATTTTCGTATCTTCGTCTGATCGATCGCCAGTATTGTGGTCCACTTAAACACGAAACATTTGTGACATAATTTTGGACAGTTTACCAGTAATATGACCTTTTTAGCCCTTATTCTTAATTAAATTTGTTAGGGATCATTTATTTGACAACAACCAGGGATATTGTTGTCCACTTAATTTAAGCAGCGAAAATACTCCTTACACCGGGTGAGCAGACAATTATTAAGAGAGAAGATAGATTTAGAATGCATATGATGTATATCCAGGTCAGATCTCTTCCAATCACGCAAAGGATGAAACATATGACTAACTGAAGTTTTTAGAGGGATTGAGAAGAGAATGGTGCGTATACTGTGTACCAGGTCGGATTTTGAGTCACGTAGAGGAGACAGTATATGGTAGGGGTGAGCATGGTGCGGTTTGGTGCGGTTTTCAAATCAAACCGAACCGCAAACCGCATGGTGCGGTTTTTGCATTCTTAAAACCGTTGGGTGCGGTTTTGCAATGGTTCGGTTTTTCGGTTTTTAAATGCGGTTTCGGTTTGTATCGGTGCGGTTCGGTTTTTAAACCGTGTTAAGAATTTGGTGCAGTTTTTTTTTTTTTTTATGTTTTTTTGTGCGGTTTTTTAAAACTGTTAGAACTGAAAACCATGTACATATAAGCTTGTATTGTGCCGTTTTTTTTAATACATTCATTTTCAGCTCAAAACGAAATTAGATAATCAAAAATTGTAAGTCGCTTAAAATACAACTTGTGACCACTCTCACAAACTAATTAATGATTGAAGGTTGGTTGATTTTGACTTAATTTGTTACAAGCTTATTACATGTAATCGATTAGTACGTTTGACTAACAATAGAACATTTCTTTTGCACCCCATATAGTTTTATACAAACACAAAATAAACATATAATAAATATATTATCGTTTATAACTATTTTAAATAGAATGTATATAATATACATTGATTGATTTATTACTATACACACTTGCGGTGCAGTTCGGTTTTGATGGACCGGTTTTTAGGATAGAAACCGCACCGCACCGTTG